AAAAAACATCCTAGGAACTTTTAAAACCAAGGATTTTATTGGGCATGCAATTAATGAGATAGGTGACAGTTAAGAGAGCCTTTCCCCAAATATATTTAGGAACATGAGTGGAAAAAAGAAGTGTTCGAGTTACCTGAAGAGGATGATGATTTTTTAGTTAAACAACCACATTTTGTTGAGGTGTATCGACACAGAAAGTGAGATGGATAATTCATTTTTCCTGAAAAAAATACCCCAACGAGTAAGAAAAATATTCACTACCATTATCCGATTTAAATATGTCAATATAACTCTAAAATTTATTTTCAATCATCTTGTGGAACCGTTTAAAAATATCCTCTGCCTCAGATTTATCCCGCAAAAGAAAATTCAATGTCGTATAAGAATGATTGTCAATAAAATAAACAGACCAGCGAACACCATTTAAGCTTTTAAAATGAAATGGACCCTAAATGTCACTATGTATCATTGAAAAAGGCTTGGAAGAATGATTTGAAGGACACTAACCGAAAGAAGATTGTAAGCCAAATTCGGGACATAAAGAACATGAGATAAAACAATATGTTGATTAATCTGAATAGAACCACTGCCCGCAATTAATGAAAGGGAACCATCGGCAGTTCAGACATTAGAAGAAGAAATTGCTTTTGTAAAATTCTGAAAGAGAGTGAAGTCTTCCCCCATGTGGTCACTAGCTCCTGAATCAACAATCCATGAAATAAAACTCGAAGATAACGGAGCAAAGTTAGGTTTAACCATTGTCTTTTGCGAGTCATTTGAAACTGAATTGGGTACCAAAGAGAACAATTTAAAGGGTTTTTGAAATCTGATCTCCCATGGTTACATTGAATTATAAATACAGATTCTAGATTCAAAGACACTTCCAATTATCAAATTTGCAGCTAATTTATTCAAATTGTAATCACGATTAACGAGAGAGAGATTCCACGAAAGAGTAAAGCAAGGTCGACGAATAAGGATTGGACGCTGATGCGGGTTGGTGAGCGAAGAAGTGCGGGCGATATACGACGAAGCAAAACAGCGGTTTGTTGATCAGAATGGTAGTGACATCAACAGAGAAAGAAGACTAGGAAAACGGTGATAGAAGCAATCAGACGATCAAGACCACTCACAATTGATACCATGTAGAAATAGGACACATGAAAAATATGGTTTTTATTTGTTATAGTAAATTGAAAAGTTACAGCAGAGGTGTTTTTATACAAGTTTAGTTGAGTGTCCTAGATAGGATAGAATTCCTATAAAATAGTTTTCTCGAGTTACTAATAAAATAAAATACTAATAATTAATCTTAATCGTAATATAACTCATAAAATACTAATAATGTATCCTAATCGTAATATAACTCAGATAAATATTGGCTAATCGACCAGGTACAAATTTTTAGGCGTTGTGAGGGTGCTAATCATTCCCCACGTGTAACCGACTCCTGAACTTATTTTCTGATTTTCGCAGACCAAAAATTTAGTTTTATGATAAAATAAAATGTTTTATTCAAATTACCTGATTTTAGGTGTTCCAATGACACCTTAAAATGATTGGTAACGACTCTCAATATTTTATTTTAAAATCTTTTCAAACAACCCCATCATCGTAATTGGTCGACTTTTCCCTTGAAGGGCTGATTGCTTGCGACATCAGGTAGTGTGTAATAATTGATATAACACGACAATGCAAGTCTATACCCCTTCAAATAAAATTTCAAAATAAATAAATAAATTATAAAAAGATACCTTTGAATTTATCCGTCAATAATCGAACACATGCATTTGATCAAGTCTCAGTAATCCCACCATAATAATTGAATAATCATACGGAAGGTGCGAGGTCTGTTGAAAAGATGCCCATGTAACTTCTAATTCGGTTCTCTCTCCTTGCAGCATGAGTGATCATGGAGAATTTAATTTTAGTTTCTAAATTTTATTTTGAATAACACGATAAATTGCTAGATGGTTCAATTTCTCGTGAACCTCACATTTTGCATAACGTGATATCTTTTATTCAAATATTAAATTGGATCCCATAATCTATAAAACGTTAGGATCTTTTATGCGTTTTACAGGACACAAGTTATTTTTACGTTGGCAGTCTGGGATATATTTTTTCAAATAATGGAAGAGAATCGACCCCTCACGTGAGTTTCAGCCAAAATGTACAGCTTTTAGCATTAAATTTCGGAAATACTTTATGATTTTGAATTGTATCGTTTAATTATTTTGGTGGATTTAAAAATTTTAAAATAATATCAATATTTGATTTATTAATGGATTACTTTAGAACAAATATGACATATGTTTATTGATAATTCTTTTAATTTAATTTACTCTATTTACAATATTAAAATTTAAAATTTTAATGTTTTTGAAGGACTTGGCACCTAATCTCATTTGACCCTCGAACGAATTTGAAATTTTTAATTATAATTTTAATTTTTGATTATGTATAAATTTAGTATATAATTTATTTATTATAATGGTGTATTAGTAGGTTTAAATTCTAAAATATCAAAGTTTTTAGTTATGTAAATATATAATTGATTTAGTCTCTTTCAGGTGGCCTAATTAAGTTAATACAAAGTGCACTTCACCCATGATTAAAAGTGTTTCAAATTAATATTTGAAAATTGAGAAATAAATAGTGAAAAATTAAAAGATTGAATCCAAAGAGTCAACATAGTAAAAGGATTAAAAACGTAGTTATACCCATATGAAATAACTAGAATAACGTGGACGGGATCTCAAAATAACTATAGGTGTGTGTATGATAAATCATAATTTAAGACGCTGACAATCAAGTATTTGCATGTGTGACAGAGTGGATCCACAGTGGGTGAGTCAGTATAATGTACCGTGACAATGCCACGTCTCTATCAATTAAATGTACTAATCCACACCCTACGTATTTAATAATGTGATGTTACGGACGGCTAATATTGTCTGCTTCATTAAAATATCGAGAGGATGAGTTTTTTCTCGCAGCCTTGGGAATTTCAGCCGTACGGCAGGATTAATATCCGATTAAGGTATACGTTACCATAAATATTATTATTATTTTTTAATATTTTTGTAAAAAAAATTATTTAAAATATTAATTTTTTATTTAAAATATTAATATTTTTTAATATTTCTGACAAAATGTTTAATATTAATATTTTTTAATATTTCTCGCAGCCTTGGGAATTTCAGCCGTACGGCAGGATTAATATCCGGTTACCATAAATATTATTATTTTTTTAATATTTTCAATAAAAAATTATTTAAAAAATTAATTTTTTTACTTAAAATATTAATATTTTTTTAATATTTCTGACAAAATGTTTAATATTAACATTTTCGGTAAAAAATTTAATATTTTAGGTAGCGATTTACCGGATATGTTAATAAACCTGATAAAGTTTCCAATAATAACATTTTCGATAGAAATAATAATGTTTTAGGTAATATTTTTAACAGAAATATTAAAAAAAAATAATAACATTTTCAGTAGCGTATTTTCTTAATCATATATTAGGTTACCCCATGTGAGCCTTCCTGGCACCCTTTACTGAGATTTTTTTATACTAACCTTTGTTATATTATCAAATTTGAGATCATAGTTATCATTACGGATTAAATAGATATGATTATCTAATAATACAATTGGTTATAACAAATTATATTGATTTATCAGTCACAGTGTTAAGGAGATGTTTTTTTGGAACCTTCAAGGAGCTCAGAGGCCTCAATATTCGACCAAAGAATGGGAACAAAATTATTTTTTTTAGAAGATCCGAAACAGATTTAAGAGCTAAATATAAATCTCATTTAATAAATAATATTTAATTTGTTGAAAGTTTTCAGATAAATAATATAATTACATCTTAATCATTCTAAATTTGTAATTTATAAAATAAAATAAAGATAGAGATAATATATTATTTTTTTAAAATTATAATTTAATTTTAAAACTACAAATTGAAGTAATGATAAAATTATAATTTGAGAGTGATGAAAGACATCGAAAAACAGAACCATTCTAATGCAAAGACGCGCGAGGGCGAGGCATGTGAAAGTAAAGCGTACGTTGAAACGGGACGTCGTCTTGTGGTACTGGGACACAGTACAAACATTTAACCATTTCCTATTATTCTCTTTTTAATATTGAATGAAAATGAAAAACTAAGTTGCAACTTTTTTGTAAGGATGTATTAGTTCGGTTTTTTTTATATAATTATATAGATTTGTATATTTTAATTATTTCACAATTAAATTTTATTTTCTATTAAATTTAAAGGAACTGAAAAATGTGTACCTAATTATTTTATGTAAGAACTTTTCAAACATGTAATATATATTATTATTTTGAAACAACATGATAGAAATATTGATAAAATATTAATCATACAAAAATTTTATAAGCATCAATCTCAATTAATTTTACACTAGCGAGTGTAAACCTAAATTATATATAACTTCTCAAATACAGAGTCCATTAAACCAGATACTAACGCAGACATTTGAACCCACAACAACCAAAATATTAAGCAACAATACCGATCAAATTAAGATTTATTTTATTTAAAAATTTTAAGTCAAGGAGGAAGCATCACGATTGGATTGCAAAATTCATTAATTTGCATTACATTTATGTGCTTTTACGTGTCATTGTCATATTTTTGTGTTGCATATTGACAAAAATAAATTGATATTTTGGTAAATTTATTTTATGTAAATTTTACAATTGGACCAGTGATTATATAGGGTTGAACTCCAATTTTTGTATTCATTGCAAATATCTAACTACAGATAGAAAGTTAAAACTCTTAAGGATATTAAGCCTACCAATTTTACTATCAAATATCCCCTTTCAAGTATATAGGGTATTTATGCCGTACGGCGACCTAATTTAAGGTTAAGGAACGGCACGAAATAAGCGCAACCGAAAATGTTAACATTTTCGGTTAGACGCAACCTAAAATGTCTTTCCTTAGACTCTTAAAGTATATAACTTTGATAAATAAACTACAATTCATGAATTTCGTTAGAAAACCGAGGGAACATCTTGGAACTGCAGGCTAAAGAGCAACACTAATTTTAAGTGGCCAAAAGAGCATAACACTAATTTTGTTAGCAAACCTTTTGCCAAGACTGAAGCACGGATTTGACACAAGTTATCTGAAAAGGACTTACTAGAAAACATCAGGGTTGAAACGGCCAGGGATAGAGTTACTTTGCTGTGCTTGCTTCAAGTGCATTGTCAATGCATAGTTGTTTACCTGTTAGTGAGGCATTCGAAGATCAAACACTTTTCACCCGATTCTGGAAAATATACACTAAAGAATATACAAGATGGATCTATATATAGACTCAGTATGCACGTGCTATGTTGTTCTGATTCTTCATTTCTTCAAATACCCGTGTGTAATACTTGTGTTTGATGCATATTCGGATATCATTATTGGGATATGACCTTCTAGTGACTCATATCTGACACTCACATTGAAATTCGACTAACATGGTATGCATATATATGATTCATGTGTGGGTTAAAAGTTGGTTCATGAGGCCAAACCTCAAGGGTTCTCAGTTGCTCCTGATACTGAGATGTTACTTGGTTCAGATGCTGTAACTCTTGACTTTGATTTTCATACTCTTTCTGGCGCTCATGTTGAAGGGCAACAGCTCGCTTGAGAATAGTATTTTCCTGAGTTAGTATTTCTAGCTGTTCTTTCAGCAGCATGTTTCCCTATAACAACCCAAGTAGCAATTTTCAGCATTCTTAAATAGCCGGTAAAAGTATTTAGATGGTCCTTGTATTATAATCAGAAGAGCAATCTAATCCCTGTACTATATAAAAAACAAGTGGTTTAATTTTACCTCAAATATTGATGTAAACAAGTAAAACTGACAACAATATTAATGAAAAAAAAACTGTCCAACTTTTCATGTATGCTACTGAAATTTGAGGAATTTTACTTGTTTCCAGTAAGCAAAAGAGATGTTTAAAAGTCTACATGAATTAATTTTCTTCCAATTCACATACTGTCTGATTTTAGAAGTCCACATTAAACAGCACTCCGTTAACATTGTTGTTAATACTTAGTTGGACCAATATCAAACGTATTTTACAAGGACTACCAAGATATTTTAACCCAAAACACCCCTTGTCTTGTTTCTCCGACTAAAGTACCCAAAAAAAAGTAGCAACAATAAAAACCATGATAAGACCAACCTTATGAAAATTTTGGGCCACCTCTGCTTCAGCACGTGCATGGATCGACTTCTCCAAAACTTCCAGTGATCTGGAAGCACGAGCTCTGGCATCATCAATGTTAGAAGCATTTAACATTTCTCTAACAAAAAGCTCCACCCAGTCTGAACCATCTATTGAGAAGGCTTCGGGAAATGTCTGTTCCTTAATTGGAACATCTCCATTAGTTGCTATACCTACAAAAGAACAGTGTGATTCCCAATAAGCAACTAAAGACGCTGCATTAGTACCGTAATTTGGTTTCATTTAAGTTAAATGAGTGTGTTCCAAACATTAGACAAACATGCAAAGGAACATACAACAAAACAAGTTTGTGAAAATTTAAAAAGCTGCTAAACCTTCTTTGCCTTGTAGTCACAAAAAGCAACTGAAGATTTCTTAAAGTCAAGCAATAAAGAAGATATAATCTCAAAATGGATCTCAATATTATTAATCCAGAGAGAGATGCACAACAAACTGTCCAAGCTAAGATCTTGGTCAATCCAAAGGATGCATGAACCATGATAAATGTCAGGGGTATCATCAATCTCGTGTGGCCAACATTTAATAAAAAGTTCATACCTTGAGCTAGAAGTTGAACGTTTCCTTCTAATCCTTCACCAGTTTTATCAGCAGCAGCTACATTTCTATCAGTGGGCACTAAACAAAGCTCGTTCAAGCTTCTAATGGCTGAATCCAAATCATCTCCGCATTCTTCAAGTGCTCTCTGAAGGACCTACAGATAGATAGGTTATTTCATCAAATCATCTGTTAACAATAACAGTATACAAAGATAGTGATCAGCAACTATGATTTGGATTTCAAAAATTGTAAAATGTGTGTTGCTGATGCAAAAAAAAAAAAAAAAAAAAAAACGCAGCATCTATGATTATTTCTCAAATTCATAGGTTTGAGAAATGCCTATTTAGTAGTGAATTTGATTATGAAGCTATCATTCATGTTTTCTTTTTACATCTATAAGCTTAAGCATTCAATTCCAGCTAATTTATACATGCTTTATGCATATTTTTTGCGGGACTTATATAGGAAAAAATATCTAAATCCAAATACATCTTCCCAAACATAGCATAAATCAATTTCAATTTCCATTGTAAGATAATATTTTTATATTCATGCCATATTATGATACTGTCAACATACATGTCATTCCATAAACTAATGAAAATACAAAAATTATATATATGCACTAACTAATGATGATTTTTCCATTTCATTCCATCTCCTAGAAATTTAAAACTAAAAAAAGGCTAATATATATATAAAAAAAAGGAAGGGAATATTACCTGCTGGTCCATTTCAGGAAAAATAGCAATCAATTGATCGATCAGCGGCGGCGAAGAAGGAGGGAAAGAAGAAGCAAAACGAGAAGAGCAACGGATTCTCTTAGAAGCAGGAGGCGTCGAACTCAATTCCTCAAAGAAAGATCTCTTCCCTGAAACTATGGCAGACATGTTTCAGCCAAAATTGCCTGCTCTTTTTGGCCCTTCTTTTTTATTTTGCCCCAATTCCCCCTCACTGTCAAATTATATACACAAATTCAAATCTAAAAAACTCTAAAAAAATACAATTCGATCGATCTCGAATCTTCTTTAGAAAAAGTAAAGTAATTTCAGAAAAAATATGATTTGATTTCTCTCTATCGATCGAAAATGGATAGAGCGGGGCTGTCGTCGTTGCTGTTATTGAAGAAGCTTTTCAGGGCATTAATAAGATAACTTTATTTTTGGCTGAAGCTGCCAGCAAATAAAGCACGAAACGTGATGCGACAACTCCGACGATTGAACATTGGAGAACCCGCCCACTTAAAATTAAGCACGTCCTTTATTACTTTGGTCTAATTTTTATTTAGATTTAATTGTTCTACCTTAGTATTATATAGGGTAAAATACAAATTTAGTCACCTTATTATTATTTTAGTCCTGTTCTGATTATTTAATTATTTTTTTAACTGTCACTAGAGTTATATTTTGATTTTATTTTGACCAGTTGTTGTTAAAAATTAACAGAACTATTGATGTAACATAAAATTTTCTTAATTATGATATTATGTTATGATGACATGTCAATATCAATATTAATTTTTTAATAACAGGTTCAAAATAAAATTAAAATATAATATTTGTGATGAATTTGAAAAAAAAAATTAGGTAATCAAAATGAAACAAAATTGATAATTGGATAAATAAATATATAGTTTAGCCTTTTATATAAAATGTTTTTTCATTGACGTGGAGATTGAGAATTAATGAGATAGTTTGAGAATCAATCTGATAGATTATTCAAAAAACAATCCCAAATGTATTTATATATTGTCATAAAATGAGATCTAACTGTAAAATATCATCAAATTTTTCTAATCAATAGATACATCTTAATGAATATAATACAAAATATCAAACTATCACAACAATAGAAATAATTATGTCATAAAATTAAAAAAATAAATGTATCATAAAAGAAAACCAAAAATAAATGTTATATATCAATTTTTAGAGAAAATTAAAAGAAGACAACACCGTAAATCGTTGCATGATACATCACTTGAAGAGATACACTAAAATCTATTTTAGAGAGAAAAATAATACAATTTTCCTATCCTTAATTTAACATTATACTTAAAACATAAAAATATAATATAAACATATATGAAATATATAAATCTTTAAAATTCTAAGATATGGATAGTATGGGCATGGGACTCGAACCCGATCCGATCGGGTTGGATTTTTAAAATAAATGAGTTCAGGTTGGGTTTTTCAAATGCGATGTTCGGGTCGGGTCGAGTTCGGTTTAGGGTAAAAAATATTCAACCCGAACCGACCCCAAAAAATTATAATTTTACCTTATATATTTAGGAATAATTACAATAATACTCCTCTATATATTATTTTTATTGAATAAAAATAATATTTTTTATTATTTCGGGTCAGATTAAGTTTTTAAGTTATATATCTGGTTGAGTTCGATTCGGGTGAAATCTTATTTTGGTCTGGTCGGGTCTCGGATGGATGACTCATAATCCTGGGGTCGGATTGAGTGGACCAAAAACCCGACCTATGCTCATCCTAGATACGGAGGATCAATATTTCAGAAATTATACATTAACTTTAATTACAAATCTTTTTCTTTTTCTTTTTATTTTGAATTAGGTAACCTAATAAAGACGTAATTTTTTGACCAAATTAGCATTATTTTCAACACTTGCCATAAATGCTATTATACTAGTAGTAGCAACGAGGACCAAGAAAAAGAATATTAAAAGAATTACTCAAAAACCTGATAAATTATCGGGAAAATGTGCAGAACATTAAAATCGTAACTGATAATCTGTAAAAAAGAAAACAAAAGCATAACAATGAATGCTCACACACTAATTCTAATTTACTTGCTAGCTAACACTATTTAAGCTACATGAAGAAAGCTACAATCAGAGACACGAAAGTAGCTGAGAGACTCGCAGCAGCCAGAGATGCTGCTGAGTTACTCGGCGACGGTGGGGCTGGTGGGAGAAGGGGGACCGTTGGTGAAGGATGGAGGTGTAGCCGATGACGGAGATGGTGAGGAAGGGGATGGCGGTGTTGCCATGGATGGTGATGGTGAAGGCGAGGAAGAGGATGGCGGGGTTGCTGTGGAGCTGGTGGAGACATTGATGGTCATCCGTTGACCGGCAGAGAAGTGGCCGGGGACGCCGCAGATGTAGTGGTGTTCGCCCGCCGTCCTGAGAGTCACTCTTGTTGGTCCGGTGGTCCAGTTTGAAATTGGATAGGTTGCATTGCATGGCTGATAAGCTGCTCTCGATACCTCAAAGGACATCAACACATAGAATTTTAGCCGGAAAGTAGTGCAAACTCGCCGAGTTTTGGGACTTTTTGCCGCGTGAAATTATAGCTAAAACCCAAGACTTTTTATTTTATTTTTGTCTTTGTAGTCTGATTTGTTAAAGTCTATGAATGGTTTTTATACTTTATATTAAAGTAAATTACTATCATTATTATCTAAGAAAAAAATTAAATAAATATATTTTGGTAATAAAGTGGACCAAATATGTAGACCTTTGTATGGAAATTTGACAGAGAGAATTTTAAATTTTAAAAAGGAGAAATTATATTTTTAAATTAATATTCATACATATTTTCATAAATGTGTTCGAACAATATATATTATATATTTTTCTTAAAAAGAGAAATGTATAATTTTTTATTAATAAATAATAATTATGATGGAATTAGTCAACTTATTTGGAAGAGCAGGTAAGATGCAGTGTCATAAGGATTAAGTCATATAATAGAGTAGTAATTAAGAAGTTCAATTCAAAGAGGTAATAATTTCATACCCATGACCACGGCATAACTTTCGTCTGTTTAACAACTCTAGTTTGTATATATAAAAGTAATTTATACAGGATTGTTAAAGATTGTTACTTAAGTTAGATTTTATTATAGTTGTAATGATTAAGATCACTTAATAATTTAATTTACTTAATAAGAAAATATTTGTTTAAAAAAATCATTGAATTAAATTTTGACTTTATAAATATGTACTAAATCTTAACTTTTAAAATGACGATAGAATTATTTTTGAAATATGTAATTTTTTTAGGTTTATGTAATTTTGGTGTGTCACTTGTAGAGATAATTTTGTAGAAGCATTAAAAGAGTTTTTTTAAGATATATTCAATTTATATATATATATATATCTCCTCAATATGAATCTTGTATGAGGGGTGTTATTAACAAGGCCCCGTCTTTTATAAAAAAAATGAATATATATATATTTAGTTATAGATACATGAGATATCATATATTTATATTCTTCATGATTTATATGTGAAGATAAATAACATTAAAATACATTAAATCTTATTTTTTATACATATCTTATTTCATATTAATATTATTTTAAATATTTTTTAGTTTTAAATTCTTTAAAAAATAAAAATGTCACGTGATAAAAGCTAAAACACTAGCAAAGAAGTGGTGAAGAAAAAGACAAATGGGTTTTTGGAGGAAGGTTGATCTTCCATAGGTGCAATTATTGTTTTGTATTAGAAGCTAAAAATGAGAAGAAGAAAAATCAAGCGTTGACCAGCTGTGAATGTGCGTAGTTGACTTGACTGCGGAAATTACACATATTTTTATATTCCTGTTTAATTTTCGAATTGTTTTGATTTCTTTCTAGATTCATTCATTAGGAAAGTCAAACTAATATACGGTTAAGAAACGATATGACCGAAAATTTAATAAGATACTTACTAAAGTCGGTTTAACGCTACCGAAAATATTGAGTAACAATAATATTGTAGGTGGAAAAAATGAAGAAATATTAAAAAACTTGACAACCGAATTACTTAACTTATCGGTAGGTATCAATACCGTGCATAGAAGTATCAAAATATATAGTAATATATAAGAAAGTGATGAAAATCGGTTAAAACTAGACATGTATCGATACCTTTATAAGTGTATGTATAAAAGTACCAATACTTTAGTGATTCAAAAGAATTGCAATAAAAACGCCTATAAAGTATCGCTATCTTACACACATATATCAATACATGAGAATATAAGAGGTTGAAATTTGAGAAATCCGGTTTCAATTTAACAAAACAGGTAACGAATTGGACAAAACCGATTGGAAATTGACAAAACGATTGGAATTTGGCAAAACCGATAAAGAACTACTGAAATTGTTGAAATTTGTATCGATATATATACAAAATATCGATATTGTAGGAATTTAAAGAAATGAAAATAATGTCTCAAAAATATTGATACCTTACACACATGTTTGATACATGACAATATAATAGGTTGAAGTTTTGACAAAACCGGTTTCAGTTTCATTTCAATTTAACAAAACAGGTAACGAATTGGACAAAACCGATTGGAAATTGACAAAACGATTGGAATTTGGCAAAACCGATAAAGAACTACTGAAATTGTTGAAATTTGTATCGATATATGTATACAAAATATCGATATTGTAGGAATTTAAAAGAAATGAAAATAATGTCTCAAAAATATTGATACCTTACACACATGTATTGATACATGACAATATAATAGGTTGAAGTTTGACAAAACCGGTTTCAGTTTCACAAAACCGATAGAGATACCAAAATGGTAGAAATTTTTATCGATATTTTTCTAACTATATGCACCAAAGTATCGGTACTTTAGGAATTTAAAAGAATTGCAATAATAGCACCTATAAGTATCGATACCTTATACACATGTATCGATACATGACAATATAACTAGTTAAAATTTGACAAAACTGATTTTAATATGATAAAACCAGTAAAGCGCTACCGAATATGTTGAAGGTATCAATACTTTTGTAAGTATATGTATCATAGTATCAGTACTTAGGAATTGAAAAGAATTAAAAAAATGAAAACGTATCAAAAGTATTGATACTTTACACAAGAGTATTGAGACTTGGGTAATTGTATCGATTAAATATAAATAATATATTCGGTTAAAATATCAAAGGCAATAGTTACATTTCCTCTGAAATAGATAGAAGACGTTCGTAGTTTTCGAAATCTAAGCATATTAGTTGTTGCAAAATAGAAGCAAGGCGTTTTTGAAAGCGTAGTTGTTCGTTTATTGCTGTAATCGAATCGAAAAGTATGTTGTCAAAACCCTAGTTTTTTAGTATTACAGTAATCAGAAATAGGGGTTAGGTTTATGGGTTTGG